TATGTAGATAATTTTAGAATGTTTAAAAGATTTAAAAAAGAAATTTAGTCTAGAGAATCTAACTAAATAAGTTATTAGTTATAGTAGTCTAGAAGAATATAATAATATATAAGGAACTAGTAGCCTAGAATAATATTATAGCGCCTAATATCTAGTATAAAGGCGTATATTATAACTAGCTAATATTAAAAATGAAATTATAACTAATAAGTAAAATTAAGTTTCTTATTTATGCGTTAGTTAAACCTAGAGACTTTAAGGTTCCTACTAGTAATCTTTCTTTTCTTAATCCCTAATTTCCTAAGTTATAGAAGAAGTTAGGGGTATAGAAAGCTAGATCTATTTATACCTATATCTACTAGGGCATAAATAGGTATAGTATAATTACTAGCTATAATTATAGTTTATATAGTAAATAGGTATCCTCTAATAAGGTTATAAATATTTACCTATAAACTAGTAATTTATAGAGCTCTAAGCTTAAGTTCTAGGGAGAAGACTTCTCCTAAGACTTATTATTTTCTAATAAAGAAGAGTATAGCTCTAATATTATATATTCTTCTCCTTCTTCTTCTATTATAGTATCTACTATCTTTACTTTAGTTTCTAGGCATTATTAGATAAGATGCCTAAATTTTCTATATTAATAGTAGGGTCTAATATTACCTTAAAGTTCCGCTTTTCCTTTATATATTAGATTTTCTATTATCGCGTAAGGAGTAGATCTCTATAATAATCTTAAAAAAGGCTTCTCTCTTAAACTTCTACCTATTAAAAGGTTAGATTTACCTATTTATTCCTATTATTATTTCCTTAAGTAGTCTTCCTAGGATGATAAAGATATATTTCTACTATTTTAATACTTAATCATACTTTATATAATAGGGTACGCCTTTTAAAGGTATTCTTTAAATAAGATGTAGTTATCTTATTTAATTCCTACTAAATAAGTTTATAGTAGGGGATCTAATAAAGAGTAAAAATCCTCTTTCTATTATTTATATAGAAGATTAGCTTCTAAGGCTAGGTATATAAACTCTAACTAGAACTTCTAAAGGTCTATAGGAATTTAATAATAAAGGTTCTTTAGCTTCTTCTTTATATCCTTTTACTAGTACGGATTCTTAAATACTTACTTAAGCTAGTACTATAAGTTAGTATTAAGAACTAGATTATCTATCTTCGCGTAAGTATATAAAAATAGTACTAGATACTATGCTGCCTTACCCTATATCCTAGAGAGGATATAACTTATAATAGCTTCCTTAGTATCTATAGTAGTACCTCTTTTAAAGTAGTCTTTATTACTATAGATTTTATTATTTATAAGTAGTTACTAATACTTATATATAGGGTTTTAGCTATTTATTAATTTAGGCAGGTTAGGTACTCTTAGTATGCGTTTCTTCTTCTTCCTAGACCTATTCTCTTCTAAATACTATAAACTTATTAACTTAATAGTATCTTCATATAATAATATTTAATAACTTATAATCCTTTCTACTAGGTTAAGGATAACTTATTTAAGAGTCTTAATTTACATCTTCGCGTAGACTATAATATCCTATATTTATCCCTTTATAAGGGGAGTAATCTTAGATTAATAGTTATTAGCTTCTTCTAGTAGAATATGCCTAAAAGCTTCTTTAACCTAAAATTATATTATATAAAAAAGACCTTTCTCTTATAGTTATATATTAAGCTTAACTAGTAATAGGGAGTAAAAAGATTATAATAAGAAGGAGAGTACCTATCCTCTTCCTTCCTCTAATTTATAAGGTAACTTAGTACCTCTACGTAAGGGTATTTATTATTAACTACTAGACTCCTCTTAAGTACTAGTCGCGTAGGCTTAATTCTTAGCTATACTATCTATATATAGAATAGTCTTCTACTTTCTTATAAGTAGGTATAGGGAGGATACCTCCTTAATATTTACATACTATACTATAGCCTTATAAAGACTTCTATAGTTAATATATACTTAATGCTCTTTAGTCTTTAGATAATACTAATACGCCTTACTAAGATGACTTAAATTACCTTCTTAAATAATAGGTAGTTATATGTAAGGCTTAAGCTATATATATAGTATACCTAGTTTAGGTATTCTAACACCTCCCTTAGGTAATAAAAAAGTAGGACGGGGATAATACCTAGAATAATCTTCTATATCTATTATAAATTATTAAGTAGCTAATATATAGGCTTTTACCTAAAGGCTATCTACTTAGTTAGATAGATATAAAATTAAAAGAACTTAATTAAAATTAAGTAGAGAAGAGATAAAGTTAAGTAAAGTCTTATTAATTATTATAAATATAGAAGATGCTATATACTCTACTATCTTCTATATATATTTATATAAGAAGTAAAATAAGAAGTAGAATAAGAACTAAACTCTCTCTTTACTACGTAAATTACTACTTTAGTTACATTATTATAATAGATAAAAAATTAATCTTATTATTACGCGAAGTCTTATTAGCTATTAAGTAGGCTATATATTCTTAGTAGTATTTATTATCTATTAGTACTACTAGCTTACGTAGCTTAGTTAGTTTATATAGCTTAGTTATAATTAGCTACAGCTTATTAAGTAATCGCGTAATAGTATAGTTATAATATACTTATATTACTAGTATCTAATAGTTATTACTATATAATAGCTATTATTATAACTATATAACTCTTTAAGCTTAGTTACTAATACCTAGTATATATAATTATTAATAAGTTTAAACTAGAGAATATACTAGGATGATAGATATAACTTAAATATATCTAGAGTATAATTTTAGACCTAGTAATAGGTACTAAAAGCCTAATTAAACATGGTTCCTTTCCCCTATAGAAAAAGACTACTCTATATAAAGTTAAGATTAGCTACCTTCTAAAGGAATAAGAAGCCTAAGTATATATTAGATATATAGGATATATAACTTAGATAGTTATTCTATACTCTAATACTTTATCTATTCTAAAAGAAAATAGAGTAGGTATAGGAATTATAGCATATAATACCTAATAAGATAGTATAAGAGTAGTAGTAAGATATAGAGGAAATACTAGACTATACTAGCTTATATATAATGGAGAACTAGAGGTACTTATAAGGGCTATAGAGTTAGCTACCTAGAAATAGCTAGGATAATAGATTATAGTATATATAGATAACTAAGCTATACTATACTACCTCTAAACCCTATCTAACCTACTAGGTTAAGGACTATAACTTTAAGCTATAGATATAGGGTACTTAATTATAGCTAGATAAGGTAGTCTTACCTTCTTATAGGCCCTAGGCTATATAGGGATTAGAGGAAACCTATAAGTAGACACCCTTATAAAGGAGGCTACTAGGCTAACTCTAGAGAATAACTACTTAAGTACTACCCTCCTTAGGATGTATATATAATAAAGAACTATAGTAGAATAGATAGTATATACTATATAATACTAGGAAGCATAGATAATACTATCCTAGAGGTTATATATATATAACTTCCTATCTATACTAAGGATATCTATCTAACTTCCTAAGTATAGATAACTAGAAGTATTAGCCTACTTCTAATTAAAACTAAACTATAGCTACTTTAAAGCCTACCTATTATAGTTTAGTAAGATAGCCTAGGATAACTATAGCTATAATAATACTACCTAATAAATACTATAACATCTTATTAGTAACTACCTACTCTATAGCTCTACTAGGAAAGAAGTAATATAGGAAGTACTTTAGGCATATAATAATAATAGTAGGAATATAGCCTCTATACTCTATAGAGAGCTATTCTAAGGAGATATTAGTTAATAATTTATACTTAAATTTATATATTAGATAAAGGTTTCTACTAGGGCATGATACATATAAAGAGTAGACTAAGGAAAAAGAAGAGTAAAAAGAAGAAGAGAGAATCTATTCTAAGCTCTATTAGTAGAGTAAATAATAAGCTCTATAATCCCTCTACTTATAGTTCCTATAGGTACTACCCTAGAACCCTTCTAACTAAAGATAATCTAGGAAGGGACCCCTTTATCTATAATCTACCTAACACCCTCTAGGCTTATATCCCTCCTCTACCTTATATAGAGCCTCTACTAAGACCCTAGCCCTCTAGATTAGGAAGGTATTAATATAACTTAGATAACTACTCTATAACTACTCTAGCTAAACCCTTCTACTCCTAATAATAATTAGATAACTATTTAGTAGTAAGGTAAGGGCTTAATACTATTTATCTATATAGTATACCTAGGCTAGGGTAGTATATAGAGCCCTATTATTAGTAATAATATTAATATGCGGTTATCTAATAGTAGTAACTAGGCTAGATTAAATTATAAGTAATATTAATATAGATTAAACCTAGGTTCTTAAGTATTCTTTATTTTCTATAATAAGTATTAGCTAACTATACTAGTTAGCTAGAAGATAGATACTACTAGTTAAAAACCTTACCTACTTTTTTTACCTTTATAGGTACTAAGAAAGGTATTATATAATGCTAACTAAGAATAGTACTATTAGGGATAGTACTAGAATACTATAGTAGAGTATATATATAATCTACCTTACCTACTACTCTATACTATATTTACTTTTCTATATATACCTTCTTCCTATCCCCCTTCCTTTTCTTACTCTTACTCTATACTACCTATCTACTTAGATAATAGTAGAAAGGCTAGTCCTTAGCCCCCCCTTACCTAAAAAGAGCCTAGATAAACTATCTATCTATACCTACCCTATACTAATATTATACTAAGAATCCTCTTATTATATAAGATTCTTTAGCTAGGCATCTCTACTTACCTTATAAATATATATAGGATTCCCTATAGATAGCTCTATCTTAGATAGCCTATAGCTCTAGTAAGATATAAAATAATTAATTAATTAATCAATCAATTAATCAATTAATCAATCAATTAAAGAGTTATAGTAGTTTAGCAGTATATATAGACATTTACCGACTATAACTCTTCAATGATCAGGGCACTTGGTCTAGGGGTATGATTTTCGCTTCGCAACAATTTCATGTTGGGTATGTGAAAGGTCGTGGGTTCAATTCCCACAGTGTCCAGTCTTTTTGCTCTTTTTGTGCGCCTCGATCAGTCACTCTTTTTTTGCCTTTGTGTGAGTTAGGAAGAGGTGGAGTCTAGAGGTTTGGGGGATTGAAGGGAGGGGAGCGATTAAGTTTTGACGTCGTTGTGTTGAATGTTTTGCTGGTGTGCTGGGTGCAAGAGAATAGCCAGATGTTAATAAAAGACGGGTACGATGATGCTTGACAAATACAGAGCGTTGCTGATCTGGGTAACTGAAGGCAGTCTGCGAGTCGCGGGGGTGTGGGTCGAGGATCTGATGGTCCCGCCCTTCGACCCCAGAGGTAGAGAAGAAATGATCCATTGCGTCTGCCTAACGGCGACCAACTAGACTTTCTTCCTGTGTCCTTTTGACTTTCTTCTTATTCTACCGACAGTTCCGAACCCTGATCGGCAAGTCACTTCAACGTCTGATATCTAGCAGGGAGCTCATCTATGACAAATTGAAAATGTTCAAGTCAATTCAAGCCCTGCATCCGGCGCATTCGTACAAGGGGAAAGAGAAGAGCAAGCAAGAAATATGTACAGTAAATAGAAATTTGGTGGATAGTCACATACCCAGCTTGTCGACCAATTCGTGAGACAGACACAATTTGAGCAAAGGCGGGAAAGACCGCCTCAGCATGACGGAAGAGGAAAGAAGTGCACGCTTCAGACGGACAAATTGGAAGAAAAACACTGCGCTTTTAAGAAGAGAGAATAAAGGGGCCTGCCCAAGTTACGAAATATCAGGGTAGCAAGAATATCTCACATCATCCGGCTGCCAGCCAATGCACTGATTGCAAGTGAGAATATTATCCGGATCCACCCTCCTCTTGATCTGATACAACTTTTCGTAATTCTCCCTTCCCCAAAACGCCTCTTCAGAATCCGACTGAAAAGTGTCGGCCTCGTTCTGATAGACGCCGCTCCCGGGCGTCAGCGCAGCCAGGCGCTCGGCCGCCTCATGCGCGTCGGCAAACGCCTGCCGCGTATCCAGCGGCGTCGCCTCGTTGGCGTGGTTCGGGACTGAATTGACAAACACCTCCCACGTCGCGTTGCGCCAGGCGGGCGTCACGCTGCTCGAGTCGCGCCCGCCCGGCAGCTGGTAGTTTGTGGGCGCGACGGCGAAGATTTGGATCCGGGCCCCGTAGGCTGCGGCGTTGGGGTCGCCTCTGGGCGCGTTGAATTTGCTCACCAGGTCTTGGAGCAGGTCGACCAGCGCGTCTTTCTTGCTCTTGTCTTCGAAGGTGATGCGCGGGATCAAGCGGCTGCCGATGGCGGTGGGCAGGCCGACTTTCTCGCCTTCGCCGTAGCCTAGGTATTTGGAGTAGGCTTCCCAGTACGTGTTGGCCGTGTTGATGGACATGACGACTGGTTTGATACCTGGAGTGGCTGCGAAGTCGAGCACGGGCTTCATGTCCTGGACGGCGGCCGTGTGATCTAATTTGGGTGTTAGCAGCGTCAGGGCTGACGCTGAGTCGTCTCCTATGCCAGGCGTGATGTAGCCGCCCCAACCGCCGTCTGCCCACTTGTTGGCGTTGTCTGCGATTAGCTGGAGGAATTTGCGAAGGTTTCCGGGGTCGGAAGACGTGTACGCAAAGTTGGCGACCTGTCAATTGTGAGAATCCTGACCACATACCTTTTGTGTGGTTTGACAAACCTGAAATGACATCTTTGGATATACCTTCATCGTCACTTCAACATTGACGCCAAATGTCCCGCCACCTCCGCCTCGCAATGCGAAAAAGATGTCTTGATTCTGACACTCGTTTGCAGTGACGTACCGGCCATCCGGTAGTACCGCCCTGATTTGAAGCATGTTGTCGACGCCGAGCCCCAAGGTGTTGGTGGCAAATCCATGCCCGCCTCCACTGATCCATCCTCCAGCCGCACCCACCGTCGACGATGTGCCCCCCGGAACCGTCACCCCGTTGCCTTCTGCAAATTTGTACAGGGCGCGCATGCCCTGCCCGCCACCCATTGTGATTCCATCTCCTGCGGGACTAGGACATCCCTCTGGCTGAAAATTCCTTTCTAACTTCATTGGCGGCTTCAGGTTGGTGAGCCAGAGGGCGAGCGAATTGGGTGCAGAGCTGCGACCCTTGTAGTCGTGGCCAGTATTTTTGAGCGAGAGGATCGTTTTGGTTTTGCGCGAAAAGCTAAAGGCGGCTTGTATGTCCGACACTTTGCGCACATCTATGTAGTACGGCGAGACGCTACCCTGATGGCAGTCGCGTGGCGGCGCAAAGTTGGCCGGGTCGTTGGGGTTGATGAAGTCGAGGTTGCAGGAGGAAGCGTTTTTCTGACATGCGGCCCAATTCGTCTGCCTCTCCGTTAGCGACGATAGGACTGACAAGTAGCATCTTGCCTTACATTCATGAAGCCGACATACTGTGTCACCAGCGCAAGGTCGCTTTTCCAACCCTTGATGACCAAGTCGCACAGAGCTCTGTCTGGAGGCGACGCCGCGCCTTCATATGTGCCAAAGCATGGTTTCGCCAGGGGATAGCTGCGGAAAAGACGACCTTCGACTGTTTTGTTCAGAGTGTCCCAATCTTCTTGCGTAGCGGCGCCGGCGACTGCTGCAACAAATGTGAAGAGCAGTTGTGCTAAAAGGAGCGTGGAAACCATGACGGGTTAGCAAAGGAAGGTCGGATCGATTCGTCTCCCATATTCAGGTCAGGATCTTGTTTGCCTATATCAACTTGTCCCTGACGACATATTTCAGGGTCTCTAGCATGAGCCCCAGTTTCCGTATCCAGTTACTTCTGCTGGTCGACATGCGAATATTCTGGCATACCCAACTAGTAACATTGACCTAAAGAAGTTGCTGCTACGATAGTGTTGTTTGCGGTCACGTTTATTTCATATACATGCGAACGCCACGTAAATAGCTGGGCTTTGTCGTCGAAGTGTCGTGTTGTAGAGCTATGATCCCAGCATTTGTGGATGCGGCTAGATGAGCTTGATGTTTCAGACCTTGTGCATCTCGCTTGGCTACCCGAATCTTAACCTGAAGGTTACTAACAACTCTAATTCTTTCTTCGCGGGTTGGGAAAAATGGCGAGAGATTTGGCGTCGTCCTCAGGGACGATGCGGAAGAGCTCGAAGTACCTGCACCTACACCGGGCGCATCACCTGTCCACTGTGAGTCTACCAGAGACTCAACGGCAATGAGCAGAAAATGGGATGTACGCTGGTTTTCCCTGGGTAGTTTAACAGAAGAGTAGGAGATGACTGCCCATTGATGGCGGCGCGCTCTTGTTCTTGAGACTAGACGAGAGAAGGCTCCCTCATAACCGCAACGAAGGTGGAGACAGTATAAGAGGGTATGGGATTGAAAGACTGATGCTTTTTTCTCGAGGTGAAAAATCCAGTAAGTCTGATGAGGTGACTGAGTTTGATCCAGATGTAGACTGCGTTGGCATTAGACCAATGACAAAGAATCGATCGGGGTTTGACCACGGAGGCAACAGGAGCAGAGTTGAATTGTGGGCCTTGAACAGTCTTTATCCACATTCCCGCATCGATGGCTGGTGGGCCCGGTTGGTCGTTGACAAGTGATTGGTCGCAAATAGTAACAGAATGTGACATGGGCGAATTCTTGGTAGCTGGTTTTTTTTTTTTTTCTTTTCTTTTTTCAACGCATATTAGCAAATCAATGGCAGGCTGACAGCATAAAAAGCAGCTGAAGGGGGAATCCGGGATTTCCTTCCCCTTTGACAGCTGACTGAAATCACCTGCAAACAGCAATAATGCAGCGTATGCCACCTGCGGACTGCAGAATGGAGCAAAAAGAATGCACTTGCTTACCCACAAAAGTCGGTTGTGCCCGTGGGGAACCGTGGAAACAAGGGGCAAAAAATACGGGATGCGAGACTTGAACTCGCGACCTTCAGTGCTCTACAGGAGACTTCCGATTGCTCAAGAACACTCTGTTAGACTGACGTGATGACCAACTACACCAACCCCGCGTGCTTGTTGTATTCAACAGATGCATGCTGCATTATAGATGTTGTGGTTAGAGGAGCTGCGGAAAAGTTGAGCTTCTTGTTGGCCATTTCGCTGTAGTTGGTGGAATTTTTGCGGGAATGAATGACTATAAGGTAAGCTACACGAAGTCTGCTTGATTGATGGAAAGGAAATGGGAGATACACCATATCTTTCCAAGTGGTTCGGGCGAGGGGGGAGCTCCGGGAAGACTTTCGGGAGAATTTTGAAGCAGTGCCGCAACTCCCGGAGTTCACCCGGCATCTCCAAAAGCATCTCGTCGTCTGCCCTGCGATTCGCTCCTGGGATAGGGCTCAATGGGAGTTGGTTTGGTTCCGTAATAGGGGTCACTCCTGGGGTCTGTCAACCAGCAGCGGGACTCGAGACATCTTGGCCAAGTACGCCCGCAAAAAGGTCGAGAGGAGCACAAACGGTCGACGGAGGAGTGATGGTTGATGGAACCAAGGCATTGACGTCAAGTCTGGTGGCGGCGTCAACCTTTTATTCCTCGCTCAGGCGACTGGAGGGCCAAGCGAATTGACAGACTGGCAACATGCAGTTGCGAGGAGCTTTTGAGACAACGAGCTCCTGTCAGAGGACGTGCGGAGTAGTCGGATAGGATCAGAAGGCAAGGACAGTGATGGAGCGCTGTGCTGGCCGCCTAAAGGAAGCGGAATGCTGCACGATGGATCGGACGGGACGGGCGCCATCGGAAAAAGATTTGGAAGGGCAGAAGTGATGAAGGAGAAGTGGAGAATTTGGAGCGTTTGCGGGCAGATAGTGAACAGTATGCAGATGACAATGACCTGTTTGGATGCGGTGGTGTGAAGGCCAGCAGAGCAGCGCAACACAGCGCAACACAATCCAGTACCAGGGCGGGCGATAAGAGGGGCGATAAGGGGCCGCCGCTGGGCTGCAGGCAGCCGCAACGTCAAGGTCAGAGTCAAGCATCAACCCACCTCAGCCACAGCCCAGAGACACCAAATATCCCCTCACCTCGACATCCATC